GTGGATAACATCAAAGAGATAGAAAGAAGCTTGTCTCCCACTTTGGCCTTGTTGCTTTGCTGTCTTCTGCCATCATAAGTAGCTTCTCTGCCACCTTGCCTAATAATTAGAGCCAACCAATTATGAGCTAGAACCTATAAGCTGAGCTACATAAACGTTTCCTCCTTTGACTTTAGGTGTCAGATATTTTGCCTCTGTAACAGGAAAATTAACTAAGACATCTTAGGTTTTACACGACATGTGGTCTTTGTCACAATACTTAGCTCTGCCTCTATCTGTGGCCAGAAAGCAGCCATCGAAGGGGAAGAGCACGGCTGTATTTCAATAAAGCCTGATTTTGAAAATAGGCAGTGGGCCAGGCACGGTGGCGCACACAAACAAAAAAACACACCGTTGACTTGTGCCAGCTACTACTTAATGCGTCACTTTACCTCGAAGTGCAATGTAAATGGCTTGAGTGCTTTTGAGTTCATACGCTGGCCAGATCACGGCTGGTCTTAGCATGGTGTCAAACCAAGAGCAACCACAAATAGAGAGACAGCTGCTACCAAGAGACTTTACAAGTCATCCAATCTGGATTGAAGCCTCTCAACGAATGAGAAGCCCAATCACACTCCACAGCACAGTCGAGATGGGGTTATGTTTGTGTCCACCTGACAACACCCAGAGGCATCCCCGTGGGCCCCCTCTGATCTCATCCCCTCACTCTACATGGAAAGTTTTGCCAGCAGCTTCATGGCCTTCTGCCTCTTCTTGTTTCAGTCAAATTCTTCACTGTAAGGATCCTGTTAGTGACCCATTGTCCTGATTGGCACAACTAAGCCCCAGGCGTCTGGAACCCGGGAAGCATCAGGAATGCATGTTGCTCAGTCTTCCTCTTTAGCTAGGGAGGCTACACGCCTAAGTCTGGGTAATGGAAATCTCCCTTCTCTGGTAAAAGTGAAAATGGACCTTATCAGACTCGGCTTTTAGAGGACAAGGGAGATGGGCAGTGTTTGATAAGTCTTCTCCCTTCTTGTCACCAGTGGGGATGCCAGCCAAGGAAGTGGCCAGGCTGCCTTATTGTTCTGCACAGATCTACACTGTCACCCATATCTAGATGATGTTCTAGGATTGCAAAAGGTAGTTTGGGTTATGAACAATGGAAGAGGGCCAGCCTTCTTCCAAAGTCGTGGGATGCCCGTGTCCCCTTCTCCACTGTACCCCCCAGGGCCATGGCCCACTGAGGGCTTGACACGAAGCTGGGTTCTGGGATCCAGGGTGTGTGAGGCTCAGGTCTGGGGCATGGCTCCTGCCCCACACTTTCTCACTGTGCTATTACGAGTGTGATGAAAGTTAGTGACTGTGGCCGCCAATGTCATCCAACAGCAAGGCAGGCTTGTAAAAACATGACGCTATGTCCTCACCCACCTTAGTCACTGGACCTGGCCCCAGGTGACTTCCAGCACTTCCCCAAAGTCAAAATGACCGTGAAAGGGAAACGTTTTGAATTTATACAGAACATTAAGGCAGCCAGGACAGCACCGCCAGAGACTCTGGAAAGAGGACTCCAGAGCTGCTGCAGGAAGTGGCAAGGGCACTGGGATGAGTGTGCTCAGGGTGAGGAGGACGATTTTGGGGGGATTCATGGTCATGCATCTTTTACTGTGGTGATTTTTTGAAGTTTAAACATGCATTTCCTTTCCCCACCTGTCCTTTGTCTCTGACCTGTGCTGCTTCAGATAAGAGCTTGATGTAGTCCCCGTATGCAGCTTACCTTTTTCTTTACTTGCTTTAACAGTTTTCTTAACTCCCTTGATCTCCAGCAACTTGAGTGCCCTGTATCTTGGTTGACTTCTCTTTGTATTTCTCTTCCTTAGAGTAGTGTGAGCTGCTGGGATTTGCGGATTCCTGTGTCTCATCAGTTTACACAGCATCTGACAGTTATTCCTCGGGGCACTCTGCCCTGCCCATGTATTTCCTTAGGCTCCTCCTGGTCCACTCATTACAGGTACGCGAGGCTGCTTGCTGTGGACTCAGGAGCCACTGAAGCTCCGCCCACCCCGCCCAGCCCCTTTCCCCACGTGCTTCAGCTTGCATCTCCGATACTGCACCGATCCTGAGTCCAGCGCCCATCTCTTCCGAAGCATCGACCTGCTGATGTCTACTTTGAAGCTGAAACAGGAATTATTTCACTTCTGAAATTCTACTTTTCATTTCTAAAATCTCTCTTTGATTCATTTGTAGTTCTCATTTCTCTATTGAGATTTCTTCTGCTGTGTGTGCTTTCATTGTATTTCTGTTTTCCTTTATGTGAATGGTTTTGTGCCATTTGGGGTTCTTTGCATGGCTGTGAATATGTGTGTGCTCTTCTTCTTTCTCTTCTTTCCACTTTTCCTCCTCCTCCCCGCTCCCTCTCCCTCTTCTTCTTCTGTACCAGGAATCAAACTCAGGGCCTTGCGCTCACCAGGCAGGAGCTGTGCCCCTGACCTCATCCCCAGCCCTACACATGCTCACTTCTCCCACACAGTGAGCTGCACTCAGTCTGTGCCACACCTGGCTGCTGTGTTCTGTGTCTGGATTTGGGGTCTTCTTTAACTTGGCACTGAGCTCTGTCCATCCAACACTGGACAGTAACCGGTTGGATTTGTTCCCCCAAATTCATATAACCACAAAGACCCCAGAATGCGACTGTGTTTGCAAACAGGGACTTAAAAGAGGAAACTGAGTTCAAAGGAGGCTGCTGGTGTGGGTCCTGACCCGAGGTGACCAGTGTCTTTGTTAGGAAGAGACACAGTGACATGGCACCTTCCTGGCAAGTGCAACATCCTGAGTTTGATTCCCAGTATCCCCAAAAAAGAACGAATGAAAGAAAGAGACACATTTACCTGTACCCCGAGAAGGTCCTAGAAAGCCAGAGGGGGAGGCACTGTCTATGGGCCCAGAAGAGGCCTCTAGAGGGACAGCCCTGGGATGCCTCGGTTTTGGACTCCCAGTCTCCTGATGGCAGAGAAACTTATTTCTGGTGCTGAAGCCCTGAGACCACAGGACTCTCTCATGGTTGCCTTACCAAATTTGGGCAGTTACCTCATTGCAGACTAATGTGCCTCTTTCCAGATTCCACATAGAATGGAGCCACACTCGTCTAAGGCACCTTCACCCAGAACACCCTGTCCCTCCAGGTGGCACCTGGCTGGGTCTGCACTGAGGGTCTCCCCTTGGCTGCTGGGCTTCCAAAGTCCCCAGCCCCAACTGTAACCCCAAGAGTCTTCCTCCTGGCCATGGGGATATGTGTAGCTCAACATTTTAAAAATAATTTTATTGAGAAACAAATAGCAATCAGACAGTTTCAAAACCGATTAGTACAGTTTCAATAATTAATACATCGCATATTGTTGTCTTTGTAGTGGTTATTCATAGTACAAGATGCAGACATGATATCTTATACAAACACTATTAGTACAAATCTTTCTTCTCACTGAATTAAGAGAAAGTAGCTGCATATGTATCCTAACTATTTTGTATATACAAGTACAAAATAGTCCTTCATTTATATCCCCTTTTTTGGTTTGGTTTAGCAGTTCAGCATTTGATGAAAGCCCCTGGGGATTTCTGCTCACATCCTGGGGCCACCTTTCTTCTCCTGTCTGGAAAGCCCAGCTTCTTGGGTCTCCCACGCTCCAGGGGAAACGAGGCCAGTGCCAGGCTCAGGGCTCCACACAGCCCATTGTCCTGTCTGGTCTTCTGGCCGCTGTGCATCTGTGCTGTCAGTCCCACGTGTCAGGGTTGCTTGCAGGGTTCCAGAAGCAGAAGCTGGCGCTGACCTCCAGCACCCTCCTGCTGTTACTTCTGCTTCCCGTGACTGCGTGGATGGCAGCATCCAAGGTGTCAGTGAGGAAGACCTGCATGGCCACAGGTGCCTGGTAGGTCTCAGGTCCTGCATGGACAGCGCAGCAGGTGGAGATAGGTGTCAGCTGGCTGGGCAGGTGCCACAGGCTCTGGGGTGGGATCAGGTGCCATGGCTGTGCCGTCACAGCGGGGAAGAGGTGGATGACCTAGGACCTAGGAAGTCAAGCTGTGCATGGGGAAGGAGAGGGACAGATGAGCAATGCTCAGAGGGAAGTAGAGCCATAGGTGTTTGAGGGCTAGGGTTTAGAGGGCAGGTGCAGTGTCAGCTGCAGAGAAAAGTCCAGAAGCAGAGGGATCCAGATTGAAGCAGATGTCTGTGGGTTGATTCATGGAGCTCTCACTCTGTGCGTGGTTGCAGGAAGGGCAGTAGAATGAGAACAAAGGATCATAGAGAGGAGGAGACTAAAATGCTGGCATATGTGAATGTGTAAGAGACCCCAGCAATGCTGTGGCCACCAGAGATGCTAGCCCTTAGCATGGCAGGCGCACAGAGAAGGGCTCAAGCCCTGCACCCCGGAGGCAGCCTGTGGGCAACCCCTGGGTGGAGATGCCAGCACTGACATGGCTCAGAGCCTGTGTGGCAAGGAGCCTGGCTTTGCACACAGGAGGCAGTGTCCGGGCATGTGTTGAGGGCATGCAGGGCCCTTAGCCCCTGGGCCACCAATGGGCTGCCATCTCTCAGTGAGAGTCTTTGTCATGTCCATTTCCCCAGGAGCCCTGCTCCTGATAGTTCTGACATTCCCACTGTGGCCATGTACTTTATCAGGAGCAATGCCAAGCTAATCCTTTCCTGGGTGTGACCCCGTGGTACCCAGCTCCGGCCATGAGCAAGGCCCATTTTCCACGTCAGCAGCCTGGCACGGTCCGGTTTCCTGTCCAGGAGCCAGCAGCCTCACCTTCACAAGACACGGCTTCCTCCCTGGGCAGCCAGGCTATCGCAGAGCCTTGTCCTAACAAAGGACGGAGGGCTGAGGTCACTGCGGGGGTGGGGTGAGGGTGGGATGGGGCTTGGGGAAGGTTTCCAAGGCATGCTGAACAAACAGACAGGAGATGATAAATCTGCCTGGCTGGTGGCGCCCGTTCATTCTGCTGGCTGCCTGGGGGTAGTGGAGTGGACATGCGTCCTCAAAGTGCCCCGCTCCTGGCTGTGGTCCTCGTCCTGGGGCTGTGTGCCCTGGTGGCGGGCGAGAAACCTTGTAAGTGAGAGCCCCGCATGTTTGGCCAGTGAGTCGGGGACACCCTGTAGGCTCCAGGGGTGGGAGTGGGGTTCAGCCCCTCACCCTTGCCATCCTCTCTCCCGAGTCAGCTTGGGAAGCTGAGGCTGCGAAGGCAGCTGGGATCTGACACTGGCTTAAGGAGCTCCCAGGATGTCCTCATTCAGCTCTCCAGGAAGGGCCAAGACTGAGGTGTGGGCTGACAGTGGGGTCAGGAGGCCCCAGCCCCACCTTGCTAACCTTCCACCTTGGCCTTGCCTAAGCCCAGAGCCACCTTCTCTGCAGTGGGATTGCTGGGGCTGCTGGTTTTTTGTTTTGTTTTGTTTTAACTAAGGGGACAGCTGCAGCAAAGGCCCTCAGTTCCTGAGGAAGAAACTGCACAGTTCAGATGTGGGTCCGCTGAGACCCTGTGTCCTGGCTGTCGGGGACACTGAGGATGCTGAGCCCCTGAGCAAGACGCCAATACTGATCCTGACCTCTCCACAGCACCCTGCCAGTGTTCCCGGCTGAGCCCCCACAACAGGAAGAACTGTGGCTTCCCAGGCATCACTTCCGACCAGTGCTTCAACCTTGGCTGCTGCTTCAGCTCCAGTGTTATTGGGGTCCCCTGGTGTTTCGACCCCCTTCCCAAGCAAGGTAACCTCCAGGGTCAGGCCCTCCTCCTGGGGTGACAATGGCAGCACGGGACTCGGGTTCTGGCAGAGTCCAGAGCATTGCAGGCATTGGCCTGGAACCAGCCCAGGCCAGTTAGTCTCCTGCTAGCCCAGCCTGGTTAGTCTAGGAGAGTTAGACTGGGGGTAGCCTGAGCCTGGTCAGTCTGGAGCTAGTCTGGGCCAATTAGTGCAGAGCTCACCCAGGCTAGTTAGTCTAGAGCAGCAGTGGTGCACCTACGGCGCACGGGCTGCAGCGGATGGCTTGTTATCCCTGAAAGCTCTAAAGTGTTCGCCATCACTGTCCTAGGGCTTGGTCGGGCCAGTTAGTCTAGGGAGTTAGTCTAGAGCTGGCCCAAGCCTGTTAGTTTCTGGCTACCCTCCAGACTGGTTAGTCTGGGGCTGGCCCAGGTCTGACTAAAACAGCTGAAAGCAGTTCACTTACTCCTGGCCGCACCAGTTGATCTTTTAGCAGTCAGGTGCCAAACTTGACTGAGCCTAGAACTTACCTGTTTTACTTTATTTGAGGCCAAAA